TTCTCAGCCGGCTGTACTTACCCTGGCTCCAGAGCCCAGATCTTCTCGCCTCGGGCGGAGCCACAGGCAGGCTGCAGCTGGCCCCTCCTACAGCACGCGTAAAACACCCCTCCCCAGCCACGTGGGCAGGCGACGTCACAAGGCTTTGTGCCTTCAGCGTGTTCTCAGCAGCTGAGTTTCCCGCAACACACCCAGCTCCCTCTAGGGCTGCACCAGAGAAAATCCTGTGCACCTTTCCTTGTAAACAGCAGAGTTCTGCTTTTTCTTTCATTACCATTACTTAATGAGGAAGGTAAATGTGTGTTCACACACCTGATGAGTACGAGGAGGATGGAGATAGATGAGGATTTGAAATGCCCAGGGCATGGCTGAAAGGGAGGTGTCACTTTACAGACAAGATCTCCTGCGCTAACACGGATCAGAATTTAGAGTAAATTAGGAAATTCTATAGATACTTAAGTTTTCAGCGCAATACCACTGTAGTGTGAACCATACACTCGGGGTTACATAGATAAAATTGGTGTTTTGCAGGTTCGCTCATAAACACTTCCTGTCTTGGTCCCACTTTTTCATTCCCACAACTGTTTTGTGGTCAGGAAATTCAAGGAGCATAACGAGAACAAATCTTAGGAAAATGCCCAGAATTCCTAATCCAAGGCTGTTGGCTTCAAGTTCAGCAGGTATATATATAAGGTGCTGGTTGAAGAGGTGTTACGTCTCCTCAGAGGACAGATGAATTAGATGCATTTTCTTCAATGCTTAGCTGTTTTCAAGATTTAAAGGAATGAGTTAATTTATTACTTAGATGATGGGTTGGGTCAAAAGATGTCAAACCAATGATTATCATACATCATACAGTAGCTCTCTGTACCTGATGCAAAGAGGGCTGAAATTTCTCTCAGCCCTTTGAGACTCATATAGTCACAATTCTATCATTGCATAGTTTCATGGTGCTGAGTACCATTTTCCCTTTGCAATGTTAACATTCCAAGTAGCAAAGACACAGGCATTATTTTAGTTCTCCTCTCGTATTTCAGTTCAATTACAACTGACTAAAAAATCTTGGAATTCAGAAATCATCCTATGTTGTTTTACTCTTATGGTTACATTAAATCGAAGTTAACTCCTGACAGTTATCTTCTCTAAATGTTTATAAAATCCATCCCCAGATCTCTCTCACTGTATTTATGTTTTCACCATTTTTTTGTTTAGATTATTAATTTAACATTTCAAATACTTAAAGCCACAAAATTGCTGCTCACCTTTTAGGAAAAGAATTGCTTAGTACATTTGTTCTTTTTTTAGTGAACAAAACCTAGTTTTGCCCACCCCTGTATTTGAGAAATTAACTATGTAACTCTTGATTATTACTATAGCTCCAAAGCTTCACACAATACTAGTTAGATAGGTGGCAGTTTGTAAGTATTAGTTCACTGAATAAATGTTGGCCTGACTTAGATTTTTAGGGAATACAGAGAAAAGGACATGTCATCTCTTTCTTCTAGGATTTATAGCCCTGTGGGAAAGATATTGATAAATATGAACATTACCAGGTAATGTAGCTTAGTGTTAAGTAGTTGAAACAGGAAATACATACAGCAAATGAGAGCTCTGTGAGTTGAGACTACCAGGGTAAAAAGTAGATGGTAGAGTGACATTTGAATCTCTTTGAAAAACGTATATGACTTGATCAGAAAGGGAAAAAAATGTTTTGAATTCTTGGTATGAAGAGGAGAAACAGACAAATCAATGTATCACAAAGGCATACTTAAGTGAGAATGACAGGCTATAGAAAATGGTGGTGAAACTTTTATAGAAGTCTAAGATTTGCCTCCTTGTATAACATGGGAAAGTAATAATTTCACTGATGTTTAGAGAGTTTGGAAATTACATGACCAAATATGGTTTCAAGAAAGCTACCTGATAGCACTGTGCAGGGTGGTTTTGGAGCTAAGACATTGGTGATGGAAAAACTAAGAGTGTGGTGACAATTTTCCATATTAATTTTAGAGCAGTAGAAATAGGACAAAAGAGTGGGATGTGAAGAAATGAGAAAAAAAAGCAGTGCTGATAAATTTGGTATGGAGGGCAAATCCAAATTTAAAGAAGCTTGTAGTTTTAGAACCTGTACCTGTTAGAGAACACATGGAAAGTTCCTCTTTGTTATTGACAGGAGCAGTGCAGGTAGGTCCATATATTCACACAAACCCCACGGCTGGCCCAATGCTGGGCTGAAAAGGAGCAGAGCTCTAGGTACCTGAGAGTTGGAAGAACTAGGTCCCTGCATGGATTCTGAGAAGAAGCCCACTGTAATTCTTGTCCTGTTGCTTTATTTGTAAAATGCTCCACATTCTGCCTTGTAATCTGGTAACGGTGCTAAACTTGCTTATTAGCTCTAGTAGTTTTTTTATGGATTCATTTGGATTTTTTACAAGAAAGGTCATTTTAATCTGCAAATAAAGAGTTTCTATCTTTCTAGTCTATACACCTTTAATTTCTTTTCCTTTATTTTATGGCATTGGCTGCAAACTTAAAATGTGAACAAAGTGGTGCAAATTGACATCCTTGCCTTATTTCTGATAGCGGATTCCAAATTGAAAAGTACTACAATGGTATATTTACCTATCAAGTAATAGAAAGCATTTAGTCAATCACTGAGTATAATGTTAGCTGAGGATTTTGCTAGATGTTCCTTGTTAAGATGAGGAAGTTATCTCCTATCCTAATTTTCTGAAAATTGTTTTAATGGAAGGTGCTGAATTTTGTCGAGTGCATTTTTGCATCTATTGTGATGATTGTGTCTTTATTTTATTAATATGATATATTACATTAATTGATTTTGAAAATTGAAACAACCTTTCATACTGGGATAACCTTTGTCATGGTATATAATCCTTTTTGTATGTTTCATCTATGTTCATGAGAAATAACAGTTTATAGTTTTCTTTTCTTGTGATGTCTTTGGCTTTGGCATAAAGTAATACTAGCCTGAGTTGGAAAATAACCTGTCATGATATAAACAAAAATAACCTGAAATTAATTGTGGAATATACATGATAGACATACAAGTACATATATGTATACATACAAACCCATTTATAATCGAGTGAAATTTAACCTTATCTCTCTTTTAGTCAGTCTCTTAACTGGTTTTTTGTTTTATTTTGTCCTCTTACAATTTATATCTCGTTGCTTACTTGTAATAGTATCACAATACTTTACCTGCCCTAGAGGGCGCCATGGGATTAAATTTGTGCTTCTGACCCCTTTTTAAAATGGTCTTTGCTTTGCTCACTGTGCTCCAGCCATTTTAAGCTTCTTGACTTTCCTTAAATATTCCAAATTTATTCTTTCCTCAACAACTTTGTACTCACTATTCTCTTTACCTAAAAGTTTCTTAATCGTTCATTGTTACTGTTTTCTCACCTCTATTGTGTGTATGTAATCCAATGTCATCACCTCTATTTGCATTTAATCTATTTTATTTAAATTAACATTTCCTACTCTCAGCCTATCTTCATTATTCTTCATTCTCTTGTTCATTTTTGTTTATAACATTTATCATTTTCTATATTATATTGATTATTTGCAAATACTTAGTGTTCATTTTCTCTACCTTTTTAGAGTGTGAACTCCATGAAGTTTAGAACTTGGTCTGTCTTGTTAATCACTATTTTCAAAGGACCTAATTAAAAGCCTAAGCCATAATTACTTCAGATAAATATTTGTTGAATGTAGTAATAAATTATTATATATTGTGATGATTATTATGAAAGGAAGTATAGGAAGTATAAGAGGGAGTCGGGGGGGCATTCTTCCAATTAATTACTCAAAGGAAGGTCTTGGGTGAAATGGCATTTAATGTGAAGGAGCTAGTCTAGCAAATAGTAGAGGGATGACTGTCCCAGGCAGAGCCAGTAGCAAATGCAAATATCCTTAGCTAAGGAACACTTTGAGGCTCTTGAGAGAGTTTAATAAGATCATTGAATGTGGAGCATAAGAATTAAGGAAGGGTAGATTGAAATGAGATTAGATAGGAAAGTACAGAGAAGATGATTTCGCTTCTTGCCTCTCAGTTTGAGTATAAATATTATCCTCAGTACTTAAGGGGTCTATGGGAACATTTTGAAAGCAGACTAATTAGGAAGACTATCACTTTAGAGATTAAGGAATATTTTGAAAAAAAGAAAAAAGAAAAAACAGTATAAGGGAATTCCCTTATGCTGATGGTCTTGGACCTGTCCCTGTTTTGCATTTGCCTCATGACTAATATCCTCAAAATGATTAGTAAGCTTAACACTGGATGAGTATGTGCATTTGATTGAACAATCTCATTCATTGGTATTATTTGAGAGTTCTTGAAAAAGACAAAATCAAACATTTAACAGTGGAATTGCAGAATTCAAACTTGGAGGGAAAAGCAGTCTGAAAAAGAATAATCGGGTAATCTAGAGAACAAGCATGAAGTGTCATGGAGCCAAGAAAAATAGATTTTCTTTTTTTAATGCACTTTTTATTTTGGAATCTTTCTGACTTGCAGAAATGTTGCTAAGATAGTACAGAGAATTTCCATATAGTCTGCATCCAGTTTCCATTTCTCATAATGTTATCATCTTACATTACCCTGGTACAATTGTAAAGACTAAGAAATCAATATTACTATTTAAAACACTACAGACTCTATTCAGATGTCAGGAGTTTTTTGATTGATGACCTTTTTCTGTTCCAGAATGCAATCCAAAATACTACGTTGTATTTGGTTATCATGTTTGCTTAGTCTCCTCTGGTCTATGATGGTTCCTCCAAATTTCCTCATTGCTCATGATTTTAACAGTTCAGAGGAGTCCTGGTCAGGAATATTTCATAGAGTGACCCTCAATTTAAGTTTGCTTAATATTTTATTTCATGAAGAAACTTGGGTTACAAGTTTTTAGAAAGAATATCCCATAAACAACAATTTAAAAAAGAAAAAAAAAAAGAATATCCCAGAAGTGAAATTCCCTTCTAATCACATCATATGAACAGGTCCGCGAGTCTGCATGACTTATTACAGGCAATGCTAACTTGGATCACTTGCTTAAGATGGCAATTGACAGATTTCTCTATATAGTTATATTGTTCCCTTTCCATACTTTACTCTTTGGAAATGAGTCACTAAGTCCAGCCCAGACTCAAAAGTGAGGGGATTAAATTCTGTCTCCTGGAGAAAAGAGTATTTATGTGTATTATATTAAATTCTTCTTTAAGGAAGATTTGCCTAAGAGAGGAGAGGTTTAAACAGGAAGGTGTGGTCATATTCTACTTTTTATGTATATGAAGAATTTTGGCAAAATGAAGGTTGAGGTTACCTTAGGAAAAATATTCTAATTTAATTATAAGGATGGAAGCTAGATGAGTGAAAAGAAGAGTGAGTGGCAGATGAGGAACTGAAGACTCCATATGTGAACACTTCTTTGGGTAAAAGAGATTTCTGTAAAGTTAAAAACATATCCAGGAAAAAAAGACAATACTATTTGGAATCAAATTTATAGCTAACATATCTATGATTTTCTTGCTAATAAATGTCAAGTGTAGGTACATGTGCTTCTCTTACACTTAGCCATCCATGTTCAGTTGTATTGGGTGTTTAATAAATTTTGTCTGAACAATTGCAGGAAGCCTTGCAACTGTCCTTGATGAGTTTTCTTCCACAACCATATTGGTTCTTCAAGTCTTTACAGTTACTATAAACATCGTCGTACTTGCAAGTATTGGCTGGAATAAAAACAAATAAATTAGTCACTTTGTTATCATTTTCCTCCACAGCAGTAATACAAACAATAAATTCCATGTGAGTGAGAAGAAGGGAATAGAGCAAACAAGTTGGTGTCCTTCATTACACTCTGATGCCATTTCATATCTTGAGGGACACATAAGTTCCCTTAGTTAAATTCACTGATTAAGGCATCATTTATTTTTAAATTTGAGCTTTTCCAAATGTTTCTAAAATAATTGACCAAGTTTCCTCCCTCAGAAAACAGGGTAAAATGAACTTACCATAAATAAATCTCTCTAAAACTGCACCATCCAAAAGTATAGACTAGCCATGTGGCTGTTTAAATTGAAACTTAAATTAAAGAAATAACTTTGAAATTCCAGGGCCTCAGTGAAAAATACTAGTTACATTTTAAGCGCTCAATAGCCAACGTGTCTAGGGGCTACTTTACAGGACAGTGCAAATATTGAACATTTCCATCATTGCAGAAAGTTATACTGGGCGCTCTTACCACCAGACTCTAATGCCATCAGCCTTTCTTTCAAGAGGAAGGAGGTGTTGTAAGAAGATGTGAATGTAAAATGTAACACAGAAAGGAGTTTCACTATTATTATTGGATATTTCCACTTGGATGTACCTCAGTGGCCACAAACTCAACACATCTCAAACTAAATTAATCATTCTGCTTACAAGCTTGGAATTTCTTTGGTATTCCTGCCCAACTCCCAGCTTGTTTCACCCAGTCTCATAGAAATGGTATTCCCCATTACTAAATGACTCAAACCAGGAACTGGGAATCAACCTGAGTTCATTCCCCTCTACTTTTTATCAGCACTTAAAAAACACAGGTAATAAACACTGGCTAGTCTACATTTTTCCCTATCTCTCATAAACTGTCCATTTCTCTTCATCCATTTCACCCTAATACAGTAAAAATATCCATTTGTTTTTGAACCCATGTTTCTCAATAGTCTCATCTGGTTTCCAATTTTCTCATAATATTGTCAGAAGCTCTTTATAAAACACAGTTCTGATCTTATCATTCTTCTGTCTAAAACCTTTCAACTGGCTACTTATTATTGATAGGGTAATTCCAAAGTTAAATAGTATTCAACAGAGGTATATCTATTTTCTTCTTTAGTTAATTTATAGCTTTTATATCATCAATATTCTGATTTATGGCTATAAGTTCACTCAGAAAGAACGCTACAATTCAGTCGGTTGAATGCAATTGAGAAGTAGAATTCTAGGTAATGAGTCAATTGTATTGTTCATAATAATTCCAATAATACATCCCAACTAACAAAAATACCAACTTTTTGTATATTAATTCATAACAACCCTGGAAATGAGATATATTACATCAATTTTACTCCTTTTTGGTAAAATAGCTTTGAAGCTTCAGTTAGCTAATAATACCAAATGCAGATTTAATATAAAATTTAAAAGTACATAAAAGTTAATAACAAATGAGAATACAAATGATTATTAAATTAAATTTGATGATTCTAACTCTACTATGAGAAAAATGAAGAATTTAGTGTGATGAATTCATTTGCATATAAGAGATTATGTTTAGTGTACCTGTCCAGACTAGCCATATTCTGTGGTCTCGCACCATTATATTTGTACATATTTTCTTTCTAAAATGCAACCTTTTCTATAATCACATTAACTTTGATGAAGAGAAAATTCGTATTTAGTTACATAAATTATTTTCACAGAAATGCTTTCATATACGTCAATACATAATGGGTCTGACATAATCACAAATATACTTCAATGGCAAATATTCTTTTACGTTATACGGTAATAGACTTTCATTGCAAATAATACATATATACACTGAATGATTTAAGATTTTTGCATGAACACACTCTGTTGAGTAATTTTATTGCTGCTTTTGCATGAAGGCATTGCTTAAGTTGGCTCCATTCAAAGATTTCCTAATTTTTAAGAAGAAATATCAGGTCACTTAATTATACCAGTAAATTAATGACTTCAAACTTACTGCATAGTCCATTGTCACAGTGATTAGGGCAGCTGGCACAAGGTTTTCCTTGTAGATAAGGATTATGTTCTCTGCCAACAATATTACCACTGAAATTTGAAATATAATACATTAAACATTTAAGAAAAGTTTTGGTTTAGTTTATGCTCCAAAGGTAGCATTCATCATTATATATAAATCGGAATATTTACTCAATGTTTTAACCACGTCACCTGAGAAACTAATATTTCCAATGTGTTCTCAGATAGCAATGCAAAGTAAGATAGTAATTCACACCAACACTCATTCCTTGACCATAATCTCATATTCTGAAAAACTGAAATGGAATAAATAGGGTCTAAAGTTTTGAGAGTGTATTTTAATGTGGCAACACTCTCATCTCTCAGTGGACTCGGTCAAATTGCTAAGTCAGTGCACCACAAGGTGCTGACCAGACATAAAGCATATCCCCTGCAGGGGTGTGCAACCCACGGCTCGTGAGCCGCATGTGGCCCAGGATGGCTATGAATGCAGCCCAACACAAAATCATAAATTTACTTAAAATATTATGAGATTTTTTTGTGTGATTGTGTGTTACAATGTGTTTAATATGTGGCCCAAGACAACTCTTTTTCTCTAGTGTGGCCCAGAGAGGTCAAAAGGTTAGACACCCCTGCAAGAGATCGTAGAAACTCCTGGGGGCAGAAGGTTGCATTATGGAAAATACTTAATGTTGAATGTAATTTTATATTTTCAAAGGAAATTATAATTATTGATAAGTTATATAGTATGAACTGGAGAAAGTAATGCTCCAAGATAATTTTTGGCTCTACATGCAGGGTGGTGATATTTTCATGTATTTTGTGGGAGGTGTGTATGGTAGGAAGGATTTTGAAAGTCTAGAGGTTTTGTTTGGGAGAATTATATGTTTACTAAAAATGGAAATGTTAGAAAGAAAGGTTTCATTAACACTAATCTCTAGGGTATAGTGGTTTTACAATGACCAGCCTGTGCTTCATTGATAATTATTATCCCATTGGCTGTTATTATCTGAAAATGCGATAGAGTCAAAGTTTCATTTGGACTTAGCGGTCTGAAGTCCCAAGGCAATGCACTTGAATCTCAGGCTCTTTGGACAGGATATAGCTACGTATGTGTGTGAGCTTTTGGAAAAAATTGTGAAATATATATAAAAGTATTTTAGAAGCTCCCTCACTCTTGTTTTTCTTATTATTCATTTCTACTCATACCACAGATAACTTACTCTGGTTGTCTCCCCTCTAACAGCCAGATAGTGAATTTGGGTGTATTCTCCTAGGACCCTCCAATTCTTTCTATTAAATCCTAACTGGTGCTTGCAGGAAAGTGTCTTTGAATGTCATACTTTTCAAACTGGAACCCAACTTCCCCTGGCTTATCTATAGTTTTAAAATAAATCACGCAAGAAGCTTGTTTTGAGGGGAAACTCTTCCTCCAGTAGCAAGGAATTTCAAACATTAAAAATAACCTGTATAAACTGATAGTAATGAGAGGGAAGGAGAGAGCGGGGTGGTGGGGTAAAGAAGGGGAAGGGTCAAATCAAGGAACATGTATGAAAGACCCATGAACAAAGCCAAAGTGGGGAAGGATTGAGGAAGGCGGGGGTGAGTGGGGCAGGGGAAAGTGGTGGGAGGAAATAGAGACAAATATATTTGAACAATTAAAAAAAGAGCAAAACACTAAAATAACAAAAACAAAAAAAATCCTGTATATTATAAATGTATTTTCACTATATTTATAGGATATTTGTGAATGAGTCAAACATACTGCTTGAGGAAGAGGTATATTTCCTGCTATAAATCAAGATTTTATTGGATGGTTCCTTCAGAGATTTTGTGCTAAATTCTAAAAAGCAAAGATTTAAAATATTACCTTTTCTTGACTATTTGAGATATATCAGGGATTTCCTGAAAACCGTTTGAGGCCCAAGATGTAATCAGCTCTTAATGGTATACTAGAGGTATTTCAGGTAAACATCAATAGGAACATTTGTGTACAAAGGAATATTTGAGTACCATTTGATACATCACCTTTACCCTTGGATTTACCATAAAGCTCTCACTTTCTAGAATGTGAATTTAATAAAAACTGACAGTACCAAATCTAGAGAACTACACATAACATATATCCATGGAATCCTGAGCCCCAAGAAAGCAATTGAGAAGGAAGACAATTTTAATCATGAGGGAGGACAGCTTCAGAATATTACACTTGAAACTGAGAAGTTAGTCTTCTTCCTAAGAAGTTGATTGTGTCTTAAATTTACAAAAGCTGTCTAAGGATTAATCTCTCCCCTTCACAGAAATATGGTTTGTCAGTCTGGGTTGTGTATTACAGGATAAATTTAAGATATTAAATTGTTCATGGCATCATTGACAGAAACTTTGAAAGCATATACTTACGCAGGACAATATTGGCAAACATAGTAGTATTTTAGAGTTTTTTGATTGGGACAATAAGCAACTCCACATCCGACAAGGAATGATGAGTACCAAACAACCTACATGCCCATAAGTGAAGAAATGAGAGTAAATTAGAGAAAGAAATATCAACAAACATAGGACATAAAAAAATGTCACAGATGTATTATGATTTCATGCACCTTATGGAAGTATTTAAATTATTGAATTAAAGTAAAAGTCTTTTCAAATAGTTCATTTTCATGTATAGTCACTGCTTTATCCATTTAGACTATTCAAAGAATAGAGAGGTATGTTTCCCTATCAAGAGCCTGCAGGCTTTTAAGTGACAGTTCACAGATGAAATACCCACAAAATGTGAAGACTATCCTTTTGTCTACTTGAGATATTCCCCCTGTTTCAATATTGGAATCAGTTGAAATTTGTAGCTTTCCTTTTATGGCATTCACAGCATTTTTTTTCACTTGTTCCCCTTACCTGAGTATAATGTCCAATCACTGCATCTGAATATCTGGGCCCTACACCATAGGTAAAATCATCTTTCTCATCAAACCAGTTTTGGATTGCATGTGACCACAAAGTAGGGTTACTTGACATGAAGAGATTCTCGCCACAACTCCTTTTACCTAAGAAGAAATAGATCATTCATGAGGAAAGCAAAAAAGCATGCAATGGTGTGTGTGTGTGTGTGTGTGTGTGTATACACATATATATATACACATGTGTGTGCATATATATATATATAGAGAGAGAGAGAGAGAGAGAGAGCGGAGCGTGGAGAGGGAGAAATCTATCTATCATCTAGAGTCACTGTTCTTCTAACACAGTGCCATAGTTGTTGCTAACAGCTGATTAATGCATAAAGAGTTCCTTATCAGCTATAAGCTGAATAGAAGTCAAGTGTACCCAATACATTGAGGCTGGTCCCCATATGCAAACTGTGAATAAATGAAGTCCTCTTTCTTTAATATCTACTCCCCCAAGAGACATTCATTTACACACTAAATTCTTCATGAATGTATGTCTTGTACTCTTAGCTGTGTACTGTTAGCTTGCTGGATGCGGAAAGCAACTCATAATACTTCTACTCTCACCCACACTTATCAGAAACTTATTATTTATAGCAACTTTAATAAATGTTTAAGATTGTTATTTTGTGTCAATTTTGGGAAAAATCTTAATCTTTAATGGCCCCAAGCATGAAACAGATGACACTAGGAGGGACAATATTTTCAAAGTTTATGGGTCTCCCCTTCATCAGCAAATCAGAATGTTACAGGCCAATTTCTACTCAAAGAATTAGGGTAAAAATGCTTTGCAGCCCAGAAACATTTCAATGTATTTTTCAAACCTTGAAATTAATAGTTATGTTTGGATGGCTTGAAATGTAATATGTACATACTTCTGAAAGGGACTGTGAATTACTCTTGAATAGCTCTTATAAGAGGGAAAGAAAGATGAGATTTTAACAGTAGACTGGGATCTTCATAACCATTTGTTTCAATCTTCTACTGAATATAGTCATACCTCTTCATAATGTCATTGAATTATTGTATCAAAAATACAAAGAACAATAGCAGTTCTACTTTCAAAACAGGTGAGTTATTTACTACTTTCAAATTGGGCTTGCCTATATCTGTCATTTAATAATTTAAGTAAATATTTTGTTTACTTGTTCATACATATGATATCTAATTGTTTTTAGGCTCCTTGATGTAGGGGTCATGTCTCTGAGGTTATTTTTGAGTCTAATATAGTATTGCATGCATTGTAAGAGGCATCCAGAACATACGAAAGATTTGACTTACTGCCATCAAAGATTAAAAAGATGTTAATACTAAATATTTTTGAGTAAAATTCTGAAACAGTTTGACAAAAGTTAACATATTTTACAAATCCAAAATTAAATACTTTTTAAAACACAAAGAAATTCTATAACATGAAAAAAAGCACTGGGTTAGATGTCTGAAATTCTAATTTTAAATTTCCAGGATATGACACTTCTTAACAATTATTTTTCTGCTAACAGTGAGATGGTTAAAAGTGATGGTACAAATGTGATATTGTGTGAGACAGTTTTTGTAAAAAATAAAAGCATAAGCACAAGGTGGTGCTTCTCAGAGTTTTCTGTCACAGAAATACTTTAACTTGAAAAAGACAGATTTTGAAGCAACATTAATCCACAAAGGTTTCTTAATGCAACATCGAAAAAAGTCTCCTTATTATTTTACTTTTTCATTTACTCAGCAAAAATTTATTAATGTACCTACCAATTGCTCGGTCCTGTGAGCTACTGTGTTTGTGAAGGCACTTGTTTGCCCACTTTTGGGCATTTGCTGCTGCTTTGCTGTCCCATTTCTAACACAAAAGAGGAGAAGAAGATACACACTTAATGACTCAAACCACAAAGGAGCATAAACTTTGTAATGAGATGGGTAGGTTGATTCACATCATTATAAATTTTTCTGTACATGCATATTCTTATTATCCTTATAATTAAAGACATTTTTTAATGTGTCCTTTTCTGTTTCTTAAAGAAATATAGATAGTATGCCTACCCTAGGAAATTATGAAACCTAAGATAGCTATTAGTCTGTATGATAGCAAAGCAGGAACACCTATAGACTTTTAGCAATGGTTCTTCTCTAAATATCAATAAACATGTAGATCTATTGAGATTTTTTTTTCTATAGCACTAAGATGGCATGCTTCATACCTAGTTCTTTCCCTTGCTCCCCCCACCACTGAATAAATTTGGGAGATGTGGCTTTCAGTAATGGGCCCAGACTGGCCTGTTATTTACCCAAATTACATGGATCCTAAAGGGAAAAGGCCTTCCAGATTCTAGATTAGGAGAGATAGTGATCAGAAAAACTTAATGGCCACTTACTGGATGTCAAGAGATTAGGTTTTAATTCTGCCTTTACAATTTAAATAGTTCTGTAAAATGGACAAGTTATTTAACCATTATAAAGTACAATTAAGAATTTCTTCCTTGTTCCACGGAGTTAATTAAGCTTAAGTTTTGGATCCTTCACTTGCATAGGTTCTTCTAAGGTTGTGCTTACGGGACCACAGAATATACATGGTCATTTTATAAAAATTTGCTGTGGAAGATAGTTGCATACTCTATTCCTTAAAGAGGATTCCTTCAAGCTCTAAGTCAGCAAAAGTTGAATTTCCCCAACTAACAACATGTCTTAGAGGAAAGGTCTAGGGTATAAGGTGAGTCCTAGGTGGAGTGGACATTAATAATAAGAATTATGCCAGTGATGATATGTAGGTCAATTGCCTGTACAGAGAGAGACTGGACAGAGAGTTGCCTACAGTCAGAGAACTTATTAGAAAATTGTTTTGGATCATAATAAACAGAAAATGCCTGGTAAAATGTCTAAAAGTCAATTTACCAAGGTCAGAAGGCACACACTAGCATTAGGCAGAGGGTTCAAGAATGATCTGGAGGGTACTCTATGAGTAACATAAAATTGTATACAAATTATAGGTATATTAATATATAAATATATTATTATATGTTATATAATATATATGTGCATTTTTTCTGAAAAGAGATATTTCACTCACAAATATGGGAAACTCTGAAATGGGCATGACAGCAAATCAAGTCTTCCAGATTGTATTATTCTAGTGAACAGAATATATAATGGTAGGATGATATACAATTTATAAGCAAAAATAGTATGTGGAATGAAAAAAGCATTTATACATTGTTGATAACAAAGCTTTAATAAAATAACAAAGACCAGATTTCCCGTCACAAATGTATTAAGCAATCTTATTTACTAAGAGTCTGTTCTTGTCACAGCTTCTCAAAACGTTTTCCTTTTGTTACCACCTCTTACCATTTTCAGCATGTTACTGGCAGGCGGAGAGACTGCTCTCCTTAGGTCATTGTGTTTATTTACAATCTCACTTTGGACTTCTTTTCGGGTGATTGACAAAGTATCAAAAACTGGATCCTAAAGGAAAACCAAATTATAATTATTTTTTAAAAGTTTAAAACATTGCACATGAGCAAATAAGTTAATTCAAGAGTCCAGTTCAGCCCTGGCTGGTGTGCCTCAGTTGGTTGGGAGTTATCCCACAAAGCAGAAGGTCGCTGGCTCAATTCCCGGTCAGGGCGCATGCCTGGGTGTGTGGTTCAGTCCCTGTTGGGACATGTGCAGAGGCACAGGTCAACGTTTCTCTCTCCCATTGATGTTTCTCTCTCTCTCTCTCTCCCTCTCCCATTCCTTCTCTCTAAATCAATAAACATGTCTTTAGGTGAGGATAAGAAAAAAGTGCTAGGTTCAAACTAATATTAACTATTACACATTGCCAGTGAATCTGAACCAAAGCTATAACTTTTAAATAGGAAAGAAATAGTGTTAAATTTTGCGTGTGGATGCAGTTCATACCATGACGTTTAAAAACACTTTTGAGGCCACAAATACCACTTTCCAGTATTAAATGGTGTCTTAATGAGATTTTTCTAGATATATGAGTGATAAGGTAATGACAATGTTTTAAGATGGGGACCATTAAATGAAGGGGCATCCTCATTCACAATCAGGGTATAGTAAGGGAGTGCTAAGAGGAGAGACAGGTGGCTCATCTAGACTTTAAGGGGAACTTTGACCTGATATGGTACCTGAATTTAAAGAAGAAATGTTTAGGCTCAGTCTAATTGCATTCAGTACTCTAATAAATGATTCTACCTATTATGTAGCAGATTTTATGGAATTATTCAAAAGACACTTCTATAATATTGAATATCTCTCCAAGGCAATTTGGAGGGAGCAAAGCCATCCAATTAATGGACTATTGCTGACTTTGTTCATTTTAGTATCAGAAATATAATTAAGGTATTAAATCACATGCTCATATTTTTTATATATTTTTGAGGGATCCTGGGGAGTGTCTAAGCCTAGAGGTAGAATAGGATATGTGATTGTTCCATGAGGTTTACACAATTTGATGACCTAAATTTACACAAGAATATGATATTATTAAGAACATGAGCAAGATTTGAAAAGTCTAAACAAACACGGCCTTTTATTGATTTTCCCTGACACTCTGGAATAAATTATTCTCTCCTCCCACAATACTGAGTTTTTTCAGACCTCTCCAAATACTGAGAACATAGGTCTGACCATATTCTATTGTCACTATCTACTAATGCATCCATTTCTCCCACCCACTCTGTCCTAAGGACAGAGACCAAGAATGAATGCCAATGTACCCACAGATCCAGCACATTCCCAGCTACTGATTCTATATTGGAAAGGATGCATATGTGGAATATTAGCAGTGTCTGATCTGTGTATGTCCTATTAGCCCTCAAAAACCTCCTTAAAATAGTTTCACTGCAAAGCATATCAAAATTTGGCCCCTAAGAAAGTAGAGGTAATTATTTCCTGCTTCTTACCCCAACTTATTTTGTAGATAAAATTCTACTGAAGAAGATATGCTTTTTCTTCTTTTTAAATAAGCATTAATAAAACTTTTATTAGGTGATGAGAAATAGGAAAAGCATTGAGAATAAAATGGATGGATAAAATATGGTATCTATACTTACAGAATTTATATTGCAAAGGCAATATGACATGAGTATAATACCCCATGACAAATAAAATAATAGGCAGGGTCTACTAGATATAGAGGAAGAAGGGATCAATTTTTCTTGATTGTGTTTAGGAAAAGCTTCACAAAAAGATGGTCTGGACTGGGGTTTTGAGAGATGAGTAGTATTTTCTAAGCATCTTGAGAAGGCACAGAAAACCACACTGGGCAGAGGGAATGTAGATCATCAGCAAACATTTAGTGGTGCAAAAGATCTAATTATAGCTCTGTTTTTAATAATTTTATAAATGAAAATCAAGAGATGGTCGAAAAAGATAACAGGCCTTGAAAGGGACTCTTTAGGAATGAAATTGGGGAGACAGAACTACTTGAATGAAGTCCTTGGTGATGAATATATTGCCTTCATATTGAAAATTTGATTAACAATGACTTCATGTCTGAATGCCAAATAAGGTTTGACCCAGTGTCAAAATTATCTGGCCTGAGGGGTCCTAGCTGACCTTAGATACCCAGAGCCAAGGAAGGGTGTGGAAACAGAGGGCAAAGACCAAAACTCCTCACATTCAGGGGTTTTCTGATCAGAAAAACCTACCAGTTGAAGAGAAAAACTGATACTGCCGCTGGGATTATTAAAGTGAAAAAGTGTACTAGAAATAATTAGAACACCTCATCTTACACAAATTAATTGTAAAAATTATGAAAAAACCCAAATGCTTAATATCTCTAGTAAATTTTTTTAAACAAAAAAATAGGTATAACTATTCTCACACACTATGAAAATTAAATATAGTGACATATGTGAAGAAGTTTTGTTAATCTGAGATTATATAAACAGATTGTTAATTTGCAGTGGGAATCACATTGAAGTAGATTAAATAACAGCAAACTAGACAAATTCTTGAGGTAGGAGGAGTTTTGTTAGCTTTTAAACCCATAGACCAGCAGTGTCAACAGAAAAATAATTAAAGCATCACATGTAATTTTAATTTTTTTGGTGGCCACTTTACAAAAGAAAAAAATAAACAGATTAAATTGATATTTGTAATATATTTATATAAATATATAATATAGTCAAATTTTATATATTATATATTTAAATGTATATATAAATATATATACATTTATATATATACATTTTATATATATTTATATATATTTAAAGCATATTAAAATATATGCTCCCATTATGTGATCCATATTAAAATTATTAATGAGAAATTTTATCTCTGTTTTTAACCTAAATCTTTGAAGTCTTCTATGTATTACATTTATGCAGATCTCAATTTTCAGTGTTCAATACCTTCATGTGTTTAGGGGATACCATACTTTGTGATGGACTCTCTAGCTCTTTTTACTTTGGAAAATTGATCTAGTAGCTTGCTAACCTTCAAGGTTGCTTGAATTGTTCTGAAAATATTTTAAACCTTGATCATACCTGTCCATTTGCAGGAAAGAACGGAAGCAACACAGGAGCCAGAAACAGCAACACCGGGAATAATGCCATTGCTGGAAAAACAAAACAAAGACCTACATTGGAATTTCAGTGCAGGAACTTCTGACGAACACAGGAGGAAAAATGAAACAATGTGCTATCAGTTATCCCAAATTCGTTAGTAACATAACAAGAGCAGATTTGCAAGAGGGTGCCAGTAGAATTCTAATGGATTCAGCCCCTAAAGCAAGCTTTTCTAATGGGGATGACAAAGAACAAATAGATGTACTTCGCTGAAGCTCTTGAAGTCATAGGCCTGTCAATATTAAAGGTACACTGTCCAATTCCACCCTATTTCCACAGTTTTGTCTATGCAGCAACTTTTTCAAGTTCTAGGAATGCTTCCTTCACATTGTCCATTTTGGAGCAATAATAGCTCCCAACTGTTTTGATTACAGGGGTACTTAATGCTGCTTGTCTTTATACGTATCTCCTCATTAACATCTCTTCAATATACCAGGTAGCATGTGTCATTTCTTTCTTCTGCCTCCTACACTTGCCATTCCCAGAACCCTAGGTAAATTCACTAAGAAGTAGTGATTTAAAACAAACAAACAAAAAACTTTCAACCACTTTACATAGCTCTGTCCATGTGTTGTCATTCATTTCCACTCAAACCGTTTTTTTTTTTTACATTGCCTCAAATTCCAAAAAAAAGGTTATACTCTCCTTTTGGATCTCAAAAGAGAAAATCACTTTTGAGAGTTTACCAACCTAATCTTCATATGCTCGCATCCTATGCTTCATTAATGCAACTTCTTGGAATCCTGAAGAAATAATATATACTGGGAAAACTATAGGCATAAATTTTTGGGGGCACATTAATATTTATAAGGGTAAAACAATTACATGCTCAATGACAGAGAGATAAAATGTCTAAATAAATTAGACTACATCTTCTTATTAATGTATATTAGACATGAAGTTATGTTTATGATGGTTTTGTAACAAGGAAAATGCTTATGCTTCAAAATTAAGAAACCCCACCAAATAGTATATGAAAGGTCCTTAGTCTCCTGTTATGAAAAAAGTTTGTGTCTCCCAAAATTGATATGGTGAAGTTCTAACCTCCTGTGAGGCTGTATTTGTATTCTGGCCTTTAAAAGATAATTAAGGTTAAATGAGCACATAAAGATGAGCCCGGATCTGATAGGACTGGTGTTTATACAAGGAGACACCAGGGGGAGCATTTCCACCTGTGCTGCTTCCCGCTCTCCACTGGCTCTACAGAGAAGAGGCCATGTGAGAATGCAGTGAGAAGGTGGTGGCTGTCTGCAAACCAAGAAGAGAAATTCAGCAGAAACTGACCATACTGGCACCTTGGTCTCAGACTCCTAACCGCTAGACCTGTGAGAAAATAAGTACGTGTTGTTCAAGCCACCCAGTCTGCAGTAATTTGTCATTGCAGCCCAGGCAGACTCATACACATTCTCATCTTTAACATTTGAGGGCTACGTTATTTTTCAAGAGTGTTACAAGGTCCATGGCATGTAGCAATTTGAAATCTCCTGGAAGGACATCTGCATTGCAGGGCACATGTATGAGCAAAGCACTGAGATGGCAGGGCACCTCCAGCTACCACCCAGCATCCATGTCTCAAGGCAGCCATGCTTCCCTCATGGGTATATGACAAGAACTCTATGACACAGGTATTTTGGGCCAATTTTAAGATAAGGTAACAGAAAACAATTATTCCATAGTGGTATTGATGATCTAAATGTGTAGGGAGATCTGGAAATAAGTACATTATGATTCTTCTGAAGGACAGGAACAGGAACGAGACCTCATCCCCTTCTCCCAGAAAACTAACACTCAGACCAAAAGCCAGGCAAAGAACAAACAAGATTAAACAGAAATACAAGAGAATGAGTTTATCTTCATGTGATAAGATGTTCTTTGTTATGATGTCTACATTACAATAATTATGAAAAGGAAAGACTTTTATTCCAAAGAGATTGTTAACTCTTGGAAAAGTGCCTCTGACTTTGTCAAACCGATTATCTTAGTTACTTTTTTGCAACCTGGTGTGCTAATAGGTTAGGCCTTATGGTGTCCACGGGAGAGAAGAACGGATCCACAGAGGGGTTAAGTGACCTCCTGACAGTCTTGTCTAATTGCTACATGGTGTATAGCTGAGACAGAACCCAAGATTTCTTTAACCTCAATATTCGTTTCCCACTAAACTGTAGTATTGTTTTTTGTGGCATGAGATTTCAAAAATGAATATTTTGCCTTGAAAAAATAGTCATGCCTTACTATAAATCTTTTGGCAGCTGATAAATAGCTGGTAGTTTGCTCAACATGTTTGAAAAAAATTAGAACAAAATTAACACAATACTAACAATTAAGTCAAATCTTGACTTTCAACTATAAAATAAAACTCTGGAGACTTTGAGAGCTCAAATAATATTTTCCCAGGATGTCTATTTTGAGTTGAAAATATAACCCATCATGATAAGTTTTATTCATGTTACTTTGTTGAACTAATCAAGGACTTTGTTGGCATTTTTATAATGTGATTTTGTCCATTGAATAACTAAAAGGGAAGGGAGGGTGTTGAAACAGAAACCACAAAATTGATAACATATTCCTTTAAGGGTTCCATAATGAATACAAATTATACAGGTGTTTCTATATTTTTTTTTTAAATTTAAGCTCTTCTATACAATTAAAATTTCACACGTAACAATAGGAAAAGGTTGATTTTGTTTATACTGTTGCTTTCAGGTAGAACAGAGGAAGAAGGGAAGAACAATGAAAATTTGAAGACAAAAAAAGTAAAAAGAAAAACATGGAAAGAAAAATGAACTTATTTCTCTATAAATCAAACATAAATTGAATGTGAAAAAGAGCCATTTTATTTCTTAGAGATACCTACTTCCCTATTAAGCACACCTGAACTTTTGTACCTGTATTGAGATAAAGAGAACAATGCAAGGGTTAAGAAGCCTGGGTTTTTGTTATTGATGTCATTGGTGCTCTTTTACCTGGCTCATCTTTAACTATATGGAATTGACAATCTTCATTTGTCAAATTAAAATATGGGGGCATAGAGTCACCTCATAGGATTTTTGTGAGGTTTAAAGATATAGATAATATTAAAGAATTTGAAAGCATTAAAAACTCACTGTATGCATACAAGTCCTAACATTAACATTGCTAATTGTATTATCATTTAGGATGCTTGCTCCCTTAGCTGGAAGAGTTGCCAGCATAAATCTCAGGAATAGCATCTGCTGAAGAGAGCCATGTGGTCCAATATCATGCTCTCTTCCCAGGGCACCTTTGTCCTACATTTGGCAGATATGGGGTATAAAGGCCTGATCTCTCCACTCCAACTACAGACAATGCTGAAACATCATTTCAGCTCCAGAACCACTCTGAAGTGGTTGATTAGAGCCTACAATGAGACTACATCACAACCTGATTTCTTACCTTTGCTCAATCTTGCTTCCTTCCGCTCCCCTCCTAGGAAATTAATCCCAAGTAGATTTCTTAATAAACTTCTCATGTCTCATATTTTCTGAACACTGCCTGGCAAACCCAACCTGTGACGTCATTCATTAATCTTCATTCCATTACTTTAGTCAGCATAGGATCCCTATTTGTACTTTCATTATCCTTTCCTCTGATCATATGCCCTTTATGCCTTTGATCATGTTAATCTTCAAACCTGGATCCTAGCCACTTCCTTTAAGAACATTTCAAAGTCTCTCTCTACAAAGAAACTCACAGGCTAACTCCAAAAACATAGATCTCATCCCTAGATAAGAGCATTTAAAACCCATCCTGCCCTGACTGGTGAGGCTCAGTTGGTTGGGTGTGATCCTGCAAAGTGAAGGGTCACTGGTTTGATTCCTGGTTTGAGCACATGCCCAGGTTGCTGCTACAAGAAGCAACCAAGCAATGTTTCTCTCCCTCTTTCTCCCTCCTTTCCCCTCTCTCTAAAAATAAATACAAATCTTTAAAAAAAATAAATAAAGCCCACCTAATAAACTTTTTCTTATTATGTACAGGATCTTATTTCTCTCAATTTCTTCATGTACATTAGATGTTTTTCCATAACTAGACTGTGTATTTGGAAAAGACAGAATACCATCATCCCATTCTTTTAAATGCCTTTTGGTTAAATTGCTTGCTCTGTGGTGGAGCTTCAGAAGCTTTCAAAGTCTCCAGAGGACTCTCTGTCAGGCTGACGTCCTTGGACACGCCCATCCCTCTGGCTATGGCCTCAAGTGGGCCTCCTGTGGAATTTGAGAGCAACAGAGGAAAACAGATTCTTTGTCTTCTTCTTCTTTTTTTTTTTTTTTTGCAAGTTAATGACAATCAGATATTGTTGTTTTCTGTAACAGACATTCATCAAATTTTACACACTGTATCTAGGATAGTATGCTAGATATTGCTGAACACGATCAACTGAACAAGATGTGATTCCTGCTCATCCTCAGAGCCTTAGCATAGTATTAAGGGACCCATCATCCAAGCACCCAGAGCGGGAGAGGGAGATACTTGAACTTTCCCAGGTGTGCAAAAGTGGAGGCTAGTTTTATTTTCGTTTGCCCTGACCAACTGTGATGCTTTTGAAAAAGAATGGGATCATCTACATAAAACAAGTCTCAGGAAGTAAGTATTACAGATGAAGTAAATACGATTAAGATCTAGCATCAGCTGGAAGACCAAAGCATTTAGTTCCAACACCCTGCTTTCCCAGGTGCTGATAGAATACTGCTTATTTTACTTTCATTGAGTCAAGTTCCACAGAAAGCTTTAGAAAAAATTAGGTAAATAATTCCTGTCATCTACTTGCATGTTGACAATTTCCAAATGTGTGTAGTTACACATTTCCTCTGCTAATTACTTAGGGACAAACTTTAGATCCTTTTAAAATCTTTCCCTATAAAAGAATTATTTTGCCACATGCTGGTCACAAAGTCTCTCCTTTTACACAGCTTTCCACTCTGCTATTTGTAATTTTCCTTTTTTGAAGAGATCATAATTTCCCTTAAGTGTGATTAGAGAAAAGCAAACTCCAGAGATTTCAAAGATATACAGTTCCAAGTGTTGATGGTTTACTACCATCCAATTACAGACAGCATAGAGCAAGCTGTGTGTTTCTGAAGCATAAATGTAAATGATACACTTAAACTGTAACATACTGCTCCTTCCTCAAACTGATGTTAGGACCACCGCCACATTTGTAACATTCACTTGCAAAAGAAAATAATGACCTATCACTGCTTTTAATAGATGATTAGAAACATATATTTACAAAAATTATACCAGCATACCTTGCCTTAAAAATCCATTTTGTGGATATAAGGATTTTAAAATGATAAACTACGGAAAATGTGCTAGGTTCTTAAGAGGAGAATTCATAAAAGGGTCCATTTAAAAAATAAGCTCATAGTCTTTAATTATAGTCAGGATGTCTATACAGGCTGGCTTCTGGCTATCACCTCAACATGAACTCTGAAGGAATGAGAAAAACAAAAAGGAAGAATGGCTTCCAACAAAGTACCAAAAAGATAGTGAGGAAATCTGAAGAGAATTAAGTCTCTCATGACCTTTAGTGTGCATGCGTGCGTGCGTGTGTGTTGAGTATGAAGTGGAGGATGGTGTTGCATCCTGGGAAAGTGACTGGCCTCATCACATAGTTTCAATAACAACTTTTAGTTCTTGCTTTTATCTGATAACAATCATTGTTTCCCTTTTATTTTTAAGTTCAGCAGCAATAGATTGAACCCCCTATTCTGGTGTCATATGTCTGCAAGATAGCATCATGGAAACATGAAAACCTCTAGCAAGTGTCAAGAACTAATGAAAATAAAGGCAAGCCTACATGGCTCCCACCTAGGGTTATGTCAGTATAAAATAGTGTGACTACTTTTCCCGAGGCTGTTTCTCCCCAAAGAGTAACCTGAGGAGTGGCAGTGAGTAGAAATACTTCTGGCATTGGTTTCCCAAACAGATGAGGATAGTAGTACATAATATATAGGCATTACAAATGACATGCAAAAACCCTTACAAAGTATTAACTCACCAATTTCAAAAATACATTTAATACATCATAATCAAGTAAAGTTTATATCAGGACTGCAAGAATACTTCAAACTGAGAAAATTCATTGGTCAAATTCATCACATGAATAGACTAAAAAAATGATGTGGCAAATATTTTACTAAATTTAATTCCTAATATAGCTAAAAAAGAGAACATGGGAAAATGGAAGAGATCATTAATTTGTAATGACATTATATTAAATATCTGCAGTAAATATTGTAGTTACTAGAGAAACTAGGTGCATTCCATTTAATACTGGGAATAAGAAAAAATGATTAATGTTACTACCATTGTTCAACATCAAAGTGGAGAGTTCCTGATCAAAGCCATAAAAAAGAAAAAATATATTCATTAGTCTGTAAGGGAAGAGAAGATATTTTATTATTTTCAAGTGATGTGGTCATCTATCTAGAGAATACACCATAATCAATGAGCTACATCAACCTACAGAAAATACTATTGCCATATACCAGCAACACTCAACTAGAAAATAAGACTTAAAGAAAGATATTGCCCATAGTAGTAACAAATGCTATAAAGTATCTATGCAATAACCAAGAATAAAAAAAATTGCTTTATGGCAAAAACTTTAAAACCTTATTAAAACACATAAAAGACCTGCATAAATTGCACTGGACAGTGTGGTTCAGTTGGTTGGAGCATTGTCCCATAACAGAAGGGTTGTGGGTTTGATTCCTGGTCAGGGTCCTTGTCTGGGTTGCAAGTTATACCTGGTCTGGGTGTGTATGATCTTGTGTCTTGTATGATGATCCTGTCTCTGTGCAAAAGAGAGGCACTGACTGATGTTTCTCTCTGACATTGATGTCTCCCTCTCTCTCTCCCTTCCTCTCTTCCTTCTCCTCTCTCTAAAAATAATGAAAAAATGTCCTTGGGTGAGGGAAAAAAAATTAGAAAAAGGAAAAAAAATATCTGCATAAGTTGGTATATTCCCATGTTCTTAAATTGTATGCATTAATAGAATAAAGATGTCAATTTGAAATAAACTAATATGAAAATGCTTTATAATTCCAATAAAAACTCTGATCTGCATAGGAATAATTAAGTAAACCACTTATAAGAAGAATTAATTTGGGTATTTTTATATTTAGTTATTAAGTTAAACTTAAAACTTAAGTTAACAAAAATTTGATATTATTGTAGGAAGACACATGGACAAAGGGAGGTGAATAGAAAATTGAAGAGACAGACCAAACAAGGTAGTATAAAAATCTCTTTAAGAGGAAGAGCAGGTTATTTTGCATATAATGTTAGAAAAATTTTTTCCACTATATGGAGAAAAATCAGATCCTTCTTAAGCATCACCTATTAAGGTGAGTGTAGAGGGACTAAATGTATAACTAGATAAAAGTTTATATGCAACTTTTCAAGGCCATCCACATTGCCCTAAGTGAGTCACATACAACAATGACATTCTGTTTGGGCTCATTTAAAACTCATAACAATCTAGGTATCAGATGATGTTGCTCAATACAGCAGTTTACAGATGGGCAGTACCAGGATCAGGGATTTAATAATTAAATTCCGTAAACTTGCAAGCACAAAACTGGGGGATAATTCCCGACACATTGACCTCATAACTTTCAAAACTGACAGGAGGGAATGGAAATGTTTTAAACAATACAGACAGATAACAGGCCATTAAAAACTTTAACGTATGTGTGTGGAATGTGTGCATTACAGGTATAAATACATTTATATACTAATCACAGTAGAGAAAAGTATATGATGCAACATTTTCGAACTTTCAGTGTGATATTTAAAAGTCATTCAGATCACTTTCTCTCATCTCACCTCTTCTCTATGAGATGGAGAGCAGCCCAGACACTATACAAAGTTTGTAAAATTTGTAGATTTTATCAGGTAGAAAATGTGTAAGGATTTCTAAATAGTAACAACCACCTTGACAGTTCCTGAAGAGCAATTTTTATGTTCCTTTCCAAGAATAAATTACCTCCCCTTTCCTTAAATTTACTCAGCATAACTGGAATTCTTGGCAGTCTTGGATTTACACACTACTTCAGAGTTCTAACACTGTTCCTCCTGATTTAGTTCTTCAAATCTGAGCTCAATTCAGTGGCTCCGACTGACTTCACAACACATCATTATAGAGTAGCTCTGGGCTTGAAACATGTCAGCAGTTTAATTTCCTTTGATTCTCTTCCAGAGAGTCATCCAGGCAGATGTTGGTTTTGGTTTTAACTAGTGGAAGAGGCAATTCCAGATCTTCTCTGACAACAGTGTAAGTCCTTCCTAAGCTCCCCACCTAGCATTCAGCCACAGAGGAGAAAAGCATTAATAAAATATTTTGAAAGTAAAATCTTTTCTCTATGAGGTAAATAACTCTTTACAGATTGTCCTTAGGTAGCTCTGTGGTCTTTTAGTATATGTATATCCAGGATCACTTCTTATGATTAAAAAAAGTTCTATGTCCAAATTGCTTCCTGATATAAAATATACAAAACAGATACTATCTTTAAATTATTTATACAAACTTAGATGCCTAACTAGATTGACCTTTTATTGGAACACTTCTAAAAGCCTCTCTCTTGTTTTTTAGTTGAGTGCATTTCATGAGGGAAATTGTATCTCGTATGGATAATCTTTATATCATTAATAGGATAAGGAATATCCTTAATAGGATATTTTTTATCTCCAGGTCAATACTATACTTTGGTTTTGATGAGTTTAAAACTACTAACAATATCTTCCCATCTTTATTTTAATAATTATATATTAACACAAATTCATATATGTGAATATTAGTAAAGTTATTAGTATTTAGAAGTATGCACACACACATAACCATAGTTTGAAAAAAGTTTTTTCTAGTAAAGGAAATGTTAATATAATTGTTTCCAAAAGTCATAGACATGCAAATGAATTATATTGCTTATTTTAGAATAAAAGGGAAAAGATTCATTTAGATATTAACTTTGATTAAAGTGCTTTTGGAATATTAAAGCAATATGTTACTTTCTTAGATTAAAAGGAGGATAATAACTTAAGGTCTTTACTCTCAATAAAGTTATCAACAGAATTTAAAAAATCATAGATTAATTTAATATATATCATTTTAGCACTGGCAAGGCATAAGTATATTGGCACAATAAAATATCCATTTTAAAATAAAGAATTTATCACTTACTGTTGGTTTTCAGAGCAAGGTAAATTATTGTCTTTATCTGTAGGAGGAAGGAAAGTGAAAAGAGAAGTTTAGAGAGGTATATATATATTACAACCATTTCCTGTGCTTAGCAAATATGGTTTGTACAAGTAAATCTAAGTCAATAGGTCTGAAACAGGATTTGTCATACCAATAGTTTCAGATTTCATTGCTGGTTGTCTAACTGAAGTTTTGGCAGCATCTTGCTATTCTCAAACATTTATTTCAAACACTTATTCTTTGTAGCTCATATACTGTTATAATTTATCCACATTTTGCCAGTCAATATTTTGATAATTCTTAATCAAACTACTCCCATTACATTAAAGTTTTCAAGATTACTTCTGTATAAGTAAAGCTAAACTTATCATTTTCATGAACTATGGTGAATACAGTATTTCTTTACAGAGTTCTAAAATAAACATTAGTATTCTGGGGGACCTCATTGTTTTGAAGAATAATTTAGTATTTTATTTTTGTAAATGTAAGGTCACAATGCCCTTCAGAACAAAATAACAAAAGATCTCATAATTATTTGTATTTCTAAATTTTAAGTTCCTGATATTAAAAATTGTTCTCTGATTATATGGAATTCAACATACATTACATACTAAATTATCATCATTTAATTCTTTTCACCTATAAAAGGCTTTATTTAATCATCACAGGTTTGTTACTATACCTCAAAAATGAAGGGGGTTGGACTAATGATTTCAGGTTCTCTCTACCTTTAAAGTGTAATCATTTTAAATATTGTGTTTTTATAAATGGAGTATAAATTGATAAATCACAAGTAGCACATACACTGTTGGGCATTTCTGGGTGCTCATGTCAGCATATACGTTGCACGATGCGGTGTATAATTCAATCATTTCTGTTAATTTCAGGTTTATACTAGCTTTATTGAGTTAGATGGCAAAAATGCACTAAAGCAGATGAGTGCCTGTGATATGATAGCAACACGATTTAATTATAGCTCATTATAAGTTAAATAATTGAATATTACTCTAAATGTTTTTTAGAACTCCAGATAGATTTTACCATAAAAAACAAAACAAAACAAAACAAAAAAAACTTTAACTATTCGGCTGCCAAGTCTCCAGTTAATTCCTAAAATGCATTTTACCCCATTATATCTGATGTGGGAGCTCGCAATAAGCTGAATCAGCCACCTGAATAAAATCACATTGGACTCCTACCTAAGCAACCATTTTTCTATGGGAGGATGTGTTTCATGGACAATACCAGATGCAGAAGCTCCCAGAGCCTATGCTACTCTCTGCTTAATGGTGTGGAATAAGAAGTTAGGATTCATGGTCTGACGGGCACAGATTAAATTTATGTACCAATGTGTATTGAAAAATTATTTTTCTGTTCGTAAGTTTTTACATCTATGAATGGGAATAATATAATTTTATTTTATTTTGATAAAATGAAGTAATATATGTAAGTTTCCTGGTATGTAGTAAGTGTTAATTCCTTCCCATTTTATGCACTTTTTTTCTCATGCCTGGACAAACCTGTCTCTAACACTTGTAATTTATGATATTGCACTTAAATTTTATGAGAGATGGTATGATTAAGTAGTCCTATGAGAGAAATGGATAGAAAGTATAAAAAGGGGAAATATTTTTTTGACTTATTATTAGCATTTACTAGATTTTCTCTAATTGCATATCCATAGTTATGACTAAATGATCATTACATGCACCATGCTGTACAGGCATTTTGCATGTCAAATATTAGCAGGCTTATTATTAAAACAAACAAATATAAAAATATTTGACCCTTTAGGGTTGCAAAATGCCACACACATATTCATCTGACATACTGACCTGAATCTTTAAAAATTGTTGTTTGAAACCAGCATTGTTCCTTCACCTCCCACTATATCAATTTGCCTTTTTCAGTACATATGAGGTCTGTCCAGAAATAGTTCAGCCATTGTTAATATAATGAGAATGGCTTGTGCAATGTCAATGTAACCTGGCAGCCAAGGAGAGTGGACTGGAACGCACATTTGTGAACAATGACGACTTCACTATTAGTCAGTGGGGGTGGTACACATAGTTGAGTGAACATGTGCACTGTGTGTCCATCGCATTCAACATGACTGAAGGAGTAGAGCAATGAATCTGCATCAAATTTTGCGTTGAGCTTGAACCTTTCTCTTCGGAAATAATTTTGACGATTCAGAAGGTCGCAGCTATAGGCAACTGGTGATTGGCAGCTTCATCATAACAACGTGCATCACAACTCGTGCTTAACTTTTGGTGAGACATCAAAGCACCCAGGTGTCTCACCCCTCTACAGCTCAGATTTGACACCCTGAAACTTCTGGCTTCTCCCAAAACTAAAATCACTTCTGAAAGGGAAGAAATTTCAGATCATCAATGAGATTCAAGAAAATACGATGGGGCAGCTGATGGCAATTGGAAGAACTGTGTGATGTCCCAAGGTGCCTACTTTCAATGGGACTGAGGCATTACTGTCCTAGGTAGAATATTTCTTGTATCTTGTATCTTCTTCAATATTTATCTCTTTTTCATATATGCGGCTGGATTCTTTCTGCACAGACCTCGTATATCAAGTATCATTATTGTTGGTCCTTCATGACCCATCCTATCCAATTTTATCAATAAAGATCTTCTAGATTATGTTTATTTGTGTACCTAGAGTTTATGTTAAAAGGGCAAATTGTTTGCTCTTATGTATATATTTAATCAATTCCAGCTGTTCTAAAGGAACTTGTAATTGAGTATATCAGTGACTTTTGCTAATAATCAATACATCTTGATTAGGGAATATTGTCTTATTCATTAAAACTTGTCATTGAATGCATCAGTTACCATTGCTATTAATCAATACATCCTGTTTAGAGAATGTTATTTATCTTACTCCTTAAAATTACTCTTCTGTTCTTGGGTTTTGACCAGTGCACTGTAACCAGATTGGCTATAATATGAATTAAATAAAGCACAGGTTCCCTCCCCCCATCTTCAACACTGTTGTAACTAGGTGCTGCCTTTTGGCACCACTGGCTGACCACCTGAAGTTAACTGCTGTTTGCAAAGGTAAAATAGTATTCCTGCCAGATAGCTGACCTTTCATGGCCCAGATTTTTATGACTTTTCCTTTCCAGTTACCAACTGCCTACAGCTTACAGGTTAAGAGTACAGTCTTTGGAAATTATCAGGTCTGGAAAATCCTCTCCAAGCTCCAGTTTTCTGTAAAATGTTGATTTTCATATCATAGTTTTACTTTGATGATTGAAATCATATTATACATAAAATTCTTTAAACAATGCCTGGCATACGATGCTCCATAAATCGAACTAACATTTCTATTATTATGTTCAGCAAAAGTTTGTATATGTCGAGCACATAAAATATTTCCATAAATGACTTTTGTTTGATACAATTGCTAATTCAGGAGTTTGGTTTTTTTCATTTGATTTTTATCGTTGACAGTATTACAGATGTCCCCATTTCTCCCCACCTTTGTCTCCTTCCATCAGCCCTTGCCCCTGCCTTCCCTGTGGCCATTCCACACTGCTGTCTTTGTCTTACACATGTATGTCCTTTGGCTACTCCCCTCACCTTCTTTCACGCAGTTCCCTCCTCCTCCCTCCTCTCTGACTCCTGTCAGTCTCTTCCATGTACCCATACCTCTGTTTCTCTTTTGTTTGTCATTTATTTTGTTCATTAAATTCTACATATAAGTGATATTATATGGTACTTGGGTTTTTTATAAGATCTTTTTCTTTTTTTAGATATCATGGGAAAGAATCAGTATAATTTAAGCAGCAAGTGTTCAAGGCCCAGTTTTATTAGAGACAGTCAGGGTGGTTTTCGTAAAATGATGGATTATCTTTGGTACTCTGCATCTTTGCTAGAAAATGAACATCATACACTTAGGTACATTTTAGAATTAGCAATAATTTCACTCTGCCCTCATAAATAAAAAGTATGTTTATAAATAAGTTGTCTTATTGACTTATTCTTTAGTATATTAATTTAATTTAGTGACATTAATTTCCAGAAAAAGGATAGTTTATGTGCCAATTTGTAGTGTTCTCTTATGTGTATTTTTCCTTCAGTTACTATGGTTACTTCAGTGATTATTACTGTATTTTGTCATGTGTAATGCACACTTTTTTTGCCCAAATTTTTGAGGAAAAATAAAGATATGCATTATGCATGGGTAGTAGTAATCCTGTATCCATATAAATGTTTTAATTTTTTTGTTTATTCTTATGTGTTAAAAGTGTAACTCTAGAAAGCAATAATGATATCCATATGCAAATACCTTGGAATACAATAATCAGTTTTGATTCTAAATATAAATAAGTAAAAAATTGAATTAAAAAACTGAAACAAAATTATTTTCCTGAAAGTTTGGATGAAAAACGTGGGTGCACATTATACATGGCAGAATACCGTACTTTTTTAAATTAAAATATATTTAACATATAACATTGTATAAATTTAAGGTGTATAATATGTTAATTTGATACATTTATATATTGTAATATGATTTCCATTATAGTGATAATTAGCATATGTTACATAATTATACTTTCTTGTTGGAATAACTAAGTTCCAGTTTCTTAGCAAGTTTGATGACTGTAATATTGTTGTCTATATTCATTATACTTCATATCAGATCTCTAAGACTTATACATTACTCACCAGAAATGTGTACCCTTAAACAACATCTGTCCTGTCCTGCTTCCCCCATTCCCTGGTAACCACCACATTATTCTAGGTTTTAAATTTTGGGTTTTTTAAACTCCATTTGTCAGTGATATCATACATACTTGTCTTTCTGTGTTTGACTAATTTCACATTACATAATGTGCTCAAGATCCATCCACGGTGTGGCAAATGGCAGGATGTCATTTCTCATGGCTGAATAAAGTTTCATTATATAAAAATACCATATCGTCTCCAAATCATTCTAATCATTCATACACCTAACTACATGAGCAAAATATCTGAATTGTAAATTACTTATGTGTTCTTTTCTTCAG